TGCTTCTCTTCGACGGCGCGATCGCCGCCGGACTCGGGCCGCAGGACGATGTACATGCGCTGCACGTCGTCGGGGCTGTGCGCCTCGTCCTTGTCCACCTTGGGCGGTAGAGGAAGAAGATCTCGCCCTTCTCCAGGATCTCCACCTTGGGGTCTGGTCGTGTCTTCGCCTCCTTGCCTTGCCCCATGGCGGCGATCACCGGATGGACAGAGTTTGTGAACGATCGAACGAGTTGGTTGCTCGTGCCAGCGATGGGGACGGAAGCGAAGGTGAGAGTGGCGAGTGGCGGCGCTGTGACTCGGTGGCGGTAAAAAAGAACGCATGCGGACGCACGGGTGTGATGGACGACCTTCTGGCTACCTTACACAGTTACGTGCGCACATAGGTGTCCCCGGCGCTGGCTAGAAGCGTCCAGTCCGGTAGGAGATTCATTTTTTTTTTGGCTATGTTCCACCTCGTATCTGACGGTCGATACAATACAATACAACGATCGAACGATCTGCTTGCTCTTGCCAGCGAGGGCGATGTCGGACGAGCGGTGGCGCGGAAGCGAAGGTGAGAGTGGCGAGTGGCGGCCCGCCTGTGAATCGGGGGCGGTAAAAAAGCACGCAAGCGGGCAGACGCACGTGTGCACGTACGTGGCCCCGGAAGCGTCGAGAGCTGACGGTACAACGATAGGAGGCGGGACACGTGGTGCTGGCGGTCTACACAGTAACACAGGCTATAGCTCACTGTATGCAGTCCTCGGCATGTGTGGATGTTCCCATGCTGCACGTTTGAGCTAGCATCACGCGAGCACGTGCCAAGAAGAGAGGGCCATTCGAGAATCGAGACCAGAGATCAGCGTGACGTGGCTGCCATCGCCGTTCGCCGGCGCCGCTAGATTAATAGAGTTATAAGAGTAGTAGTCTGTCACCCACTCTTTGCCGATAGGTGACCTATCGGCATCTGGAGAGCCGACTAGTCTCGACACAGCGCCCACCGAAGGCCGCCCGACAGGACTTGGACCCCTCGATAGGACCCTGTCGGTTCGCGGCTGGCCGACAGGCCTAAAATATCTACGGATTGTACGTGTGCGGTGATCACTGGTGCTCGTCCACGTTCGACGGCGCGCTCGTGTCCGGAAGGAGGGCGGCCGAGGCTCTGGCCAAGGACAGGGGACTATGCTCTTCCTAATATGAGCCTGTGTTTGACGGTTTGAGCTGGTTTGTGGTTTGTGCTGCACTGCAGTGGAAAGAAAAATCATCTCGCATGATGAGCGACGGATTTTTGAGTGACAAGTACATGTACATCTTCAATTCAATGGCTAAATTTCACCTCATAAATTCCTCTTCCTAATCTGATTCATGTTTACTCATTTAATTCACATGTTTTGGGCACCATAGTACCATTAGTGGCGTGCAAAAAATGATCGCTATCGTTTTGAACTGTAAATTGCGAGGTACGTAGTATCTGAGTTCCTGGATTTTTTTTAATAATAGTATTTTAATTATTAATTGCAAATATAGTATTTGGATGAAAAGAATTATAGGAGTAGTAGTCTGTCGGCCGCTGGATTGCCGACAGGAACCTAGCGGCAACTTGGTAGCCGACAGGAGCTTATCGACTGTCCAGGAGCCGACTAGTCTCTACACAGCGCCCACCGACAGGCTGTGTGATGAACTGATCCCGTGCGGTGGAAGAGAAGAGCAGGGGCACAACTTCTTGCATTGGGAGCATATGTACTATATGCTGCGAATGTATTGCATCTCAAAGGCACTTGAAGAGTCCAAAGCATCTTCCGTGCATGCGCCGGTGTCAGCAGATCGACCGCCGAACAACACACGCAAGGGTTAAGAATAAAGCTTCGTCAGAGCATTTCATCCGTTTGCCCTTTTGTCTGATGAAATCTCCTTTAGCCCATTTTGCGCCTTTTTGTACAACTTTTTTTTTCTTCGTAGATAGAGATTCCTGTCTAAAACAAGTGCTCTTTGTGTCTCTTGCAGTCCAGTTATCACTTCATATACTAGTTGGCATACGGCGCAAGTGTGATTGTGTGAACGCTTCTCGATTTCTTCTTCAAGGAAGATATGCGGAACCATTCCCCGGACGGGACCAGGCCGGGCGGTTACCGAACGAGACGAGAATAGCCTGGGCGCCGGTGATGGGTGAGACCATCGCGCAGAATTTGCACCATCACAGATTTGATCTCGTCGTCGTCCGAATGGAGCATCGATCAGCTGGAGATGGATGGATTCTTATTTCTTTCACACACGGCAGGTGGGCAACAAACGTGGTTAACTCGGAGAACACCATGGAAATATGCGGAGAGAAAGAGAACATATAGCAGCGGTTACTATGGATGTTAACAGACAAGAAGAGGCTGGCACCTTCAGGCAAGTGTCCGATACTGCTGCCTCTCTCAGCCTTGGTGCCTGTTACAGGAATTATGTGAGCTACTATAGAAGGATGCCAGCAGAGGAGGGACGACACTTTGGATTGTCACCTATAGGCCTGTTCGCTGGTCTGAAACTTGACTGAAACTGGCTGAAAAACACTGTTCCGGCTGAATTGTTGTGAGAGAAAAACATTCTTCCGGCTGAAAAAAGAAGTCGAACAAGCCGAATATGAGGTAAGCCGAATAGGGCCATAGAAGGCCGGCCCTTTCGGTCCTGTTTAGCATAGGTACAGATGGATTTTATGGAGCCGTGTCTTGTTACTTTAAAACTATAATATGGAGCTGGAGGCATGTTAAAACATTTAGAGAAGAGTAAATAGCAATCACCTTATATAACAACTATATGTACATATGTGTACAGATTGGTCCAACAATTTATAATCTATTGAAATTGGTGCAACAAATTGACAAATTCATGTGTGTATAGTCCAATACTGCCATGTCGTGTATTTATCCATGTTGGACAACCATGCAACATCGGCTCGTTCCAAGCATCCGTTTGGCTCATTTGGTCTCTCGGTTCCAAGCGAGTGGAACTAGCTAGGTTGTGATTGGAAGCCTGTATAGACTTGGCCCTGGTCATTTCATGCAGCATCTTCACTCGATGACTTTGTTTGGTTGACTGCTCCGATCTTCTCGGTCAGGCCAACAAGAACATCAAAGCACCGTGTGTGCTTTGCTACTCACTCTGGGACACACAACATCTTTTGTTTTATGGCTGTTTGGTTGTGTGCCAGAGCTCAGATCTGGTTTGTCTAATACATGTAACCAAACAAACTTACCTTTTGCACTTGTGTTCTAGCTAGCCTGGCTCCCATGAACCTATCTCACATGAGTTCGGATGAGAAATCTGATACATGCTACCAACCACACCCTAGATGTCAGCCGCCACCTTAGGGATGCACTCACCAAGCTGCGGCGGGTGTTCATGTTAGATCTTATGCTTAATTAAGAGCTCATTAGCCTAACACATGACAATTAATCACATTTTATAAAAAAAACAATCAACCACGTAATTACTTGAGATGATGTCTGATGTTCTATGGATTGCTAAAGTCAACGTGCATAAACTCCGAGCATTGTTTCAGGATTAGTATGTTGGTGCCTAAACTGCGGGAGAATGGACGAAGATGGGAGCTGTATGAGGCCAGTAATACGAAGAAGTGGCATTTTCTCGTGTCCAAGGCATTGAAACGTCGTTATTGCAACATCATGCTGGTTGAATTCCTGGTTTTTTTTTAAAATAATAGTATTTTAATTATTAATTACAAATATAGCATTTGATACAAAGAGTTGTAAGAGTAGTAGTCTGTCGGCCGCTGGATTACCGATAGGTGACCTAGCGGCAACTGGAGAGCCGACAGGATCTCATCGGCCTTCCAGGAAGCCGACTAGCCTCTGCAGGGCCCACCGACAGGCTTGTCGGCCCTCGGAAGGCCGATAGGGTGCTGTCGGCCGTCGGCTGGATGGTAGGCATTTACCCACAGGCTTATCGGCCGATGAGGACCGATAGGGGATTGTCTGCTCACGGCTGGCCGACAGGCCCAAAATATCCACGGCCTTCTTCCTCTCTCTCGCCACTCTGCCGTCGCCATCACCGGCGGTCCGTTGTTGTAGTACCCTGTGTTACGAGGAGCATAGCATAGGGAAGCAATTATTATCCAAGAACAAGTCGTGCATGTAAATACTAGTCTAATCCGTTGTCTTCTTCATCCTTAGGACACTTACCCTGGGGCAGCGGGTACGAGTACCCGTACCTGCGGTCGCTCATGCTGACGGGTGACGGCCTCCTGCTCAGAGTTGAGAGCTTCCGACGATGGCTGTGTGATGAACTGATCCCGTGCGTGCTTTGGCCGCGTCCGCGTGCCGTGCCGCACTGCCGCGTCGCCCGCTGCGCGCTTCAATGTTCAATGCACCTCATTGAGGGGATCGGAGGTGCTGACTCGCCGTCGCCGCCAGCCGGGCCCGTACTGTCATGGCGTTCTCGAACATAGGGAAGCAGCAATTCAGCGTTCAGGCAACGCTAGCGAAGAAGTGCTTGATTGAACGGTGGAACAGATGAACAGAGTGGGCTGAGTGCCTGATTGGTGAATCTCCGAGCAGCAATTGCTAGTTTTCGTTTAGTTTTCTGCCCTCCTTTCAAATCTTGTATGCCAAGACCCTTGCTTGCTGCAGTTTCTCGTAAAAGGAATTGCTAATCTTCGTGCCCATGCAACCACAGGAGTTTCGATATCTGCTCGTCATTTGGTCGTCAGCACAATAAGGCGTAAGCAGTTCTCTTGTTTCAGTTGTTCCTTCCCCTTGTGCTGATGTGCAGTATTATCAGAGACATAGAGGATAACGCGGGCACCACCACTCTCTCTCCCTGGACCTAGCCTACACACACGCCGTCACATCTCACCCCACAGGCAGTTCCTCAGATACGGTCTCCACACAAACGCCAAGTCCATGCACTAGTCCACCATATCCACAAGTCCATGAACGCTTTCCCAGTAGACCACCCATTTGGACCAACCGCACGCCCGGCCTCTTCCCGCCGCTAGTCGCTGCAAGCGCAACGCCCATGCACGTCCCCGCGCCCCACCTCCTCCCCGCGCCGCCCAAGCCGCACTGCCATGCCGCGCTCCGCTTCACCGTGTCCGCGTCCGCCGAGCCGAAGGGCCCCGCGGCCGCCCGCAAGGCCGTCATTGTCGGCGGCGGGCTCGCGGGCCTGGCCGCGGCGACGCACCTGACGTCGCTCTCCGTGCCGTTCACGCTCGTCGAGGCCTCGGACCGCCTCGGCGGCCGCGTCGCCACCGACGTGGTGGAGGGGTACCGCCTGGACAGGGGCTTCCAGATCTTCCTCACAGCGTACCCGGAGTGCCGGCGCCTCCTCGACTTCCCGGCGCTCAGGCTCCGGCCGTTCTACCCCGGCGCGCTCGTCTTCGTCGGCGCCGGGGAGCCGTTCTACCTGCTCTCCGACCCGTTCCGCCTCCCGCTCCAGTCCCTATCCGCGGTGTTCTCCCCCGTGGGCACCCTCTCCGACAAGGTCCTCGTCGGGCTCACGCGCCTCCGCGCGGCCGCCACCCCGGACGACGTCATCCTCTCGGCGCCAGAGACGACCACGGGGGAGCACCTGACGCAGCTCGGGTTCTCGTCCTCCATCGTGGACCGGTTCCTGCGGCCGTTCCTCGCCGGGATATTCTTCGACCCGGCGCTCGACACGTCGTCCCGCCTCTTCGAGCTCGTGTTCAAGCGCCTCGCCCTCGGCGACAACGCCCTGCCGGAGGACGGTATCGGCGCCATTGCGGAGCAGCTCGCGGCTCGTCTCCCCGCGGGCACCGTCCGCCTCAACACCCGCGCCGTCGCCATCGACCAGTCCGGTGTGACGCTGGACACCGGCGAAACCATCCCCGGCGACCTCGGCGTCATCGTCGCTGTCGAGCAGCCACAGGCCGAGAAGCTCCTGCCGCAGCTATCAAATCAAGAAAAGGCCAAGAAATCGGAGAGGAGCACCGTGTGCCTCTACTTCTCCACCGACCGGGCGCCGGTCCAGGACCCCATCCTGCTGCTCAACGGGTCGGGCAAGGGCATCGTGAACAACATGTTCTTCGCGACCAACGTGGCGCCGTCGTACGCGCCGGCGGGCAAGGTGCTGGTGTCCGTGTCCCTCGTCGGCTCGTTCGCCGACAGGGAGGACGCCGATCTGGCCGACGAAGTGGTCCGTGAGCTCGGCGGGTGGTTCAGCCCCGGAGAGGTCGCGTCGTGGACGCACTTGAGGACGTATCGCATCGGGTTCGCGCAGCCGGACCAGACGCCGCCCACGACACCGGCGGGGAGGGACCCGAGAGTGGGTGACGGATTGTACGTGTGCGGTGACCACTGGTGCTCGTCCACGTTCGACGGCGCGCTCGTGTCCGGAAGGAGGGCGGCCGAGGCTCTGGCCAAGGACAGGGGACTATGCTCTTCCTAATATGAGCCTGTGCTTGACAGTTTGAGCTGGTTTGTTGTTTGTGCTGCACTGCAGTGGAAAGAAAAATCATCTCGCATGATGAGCGACGGTTTTTTGAGTGACAAGTACATGTACATCTTCAATTCAACGGCTAAATTTCACCTCATAAATTCCTCTTTCTAATCTGATTCATGTTTACTCATTTAATTCACATGTTTTGTGCACCATAGTACCATTAGTGGCGTGCAAAAAATGATCGCTATCGTTTTGAACTGTAAATTGCGAGGTATGTAGTATCGAGTGACTACTGACAACCCTTTATAGCATGGAACGGCTTCAGGTCCTAAACGTCTTTCACAAGAACTCAAGAAGCAATGATAAAAAAAATGACAATACATCTTCCTAAAAAATTACATCTTACACTGTTGTATACGAATGAAATACTCCGCTTCAGGTCACTGGACAATGGCCATGATCTGAGCTCTGTGAGTGTGACCTGTGACCTGTGAGTGAGTGCAGACTGAAGAAAGAAGAAGACCACTGTTATTCCAGAAGAAAAGAAAGAAGGGAGTAAATGTCGTCGCTATAGCTTTGATCAATCAATTAAACTGGGCCAACGTGGCGCAAGTTAGCCCACACACAGAGCTTCTTACGTCTGGGTCCCACAAGTCATCCGGAGTTCTGGACCAGCACAGTCCAGAAGGCCGAAGGCCCCAAACAGTCCAGAAGGCCCAACCCCGAACCGCTCACATCGGATCCGCTCCGGCTCTGACGACGAGATGGGCTCCATGGAAGCGTCGACCGCACCGGAGAATGGCTCCGCCGCCAGCGGCGGAGCCGGGGGCACGGCGTGCAACGGGGCCGGCGCCTCGTCGAACGGAGGAGGCATGGAGAGGAGGCTGAGGTCCTCGGCTGCGTCCGCGTCGTGGGCGGCGCACCTTCCCCTGGAGGTGGGCACGCGCGTGATGTGCCGGTGGCGCGACCAGAAGCTCCACCCGGTCAAGGTCATCGAGCGCCGCAAGGGCTCCGCTTCCTCTTCCCCTGCTGACTACGAGTACTACGTCCACTACACCGAGTGTAAGAGCCTCCCCTGCCTCACGTCTCGTCAGGATGTTTGCTGTCTAGGGTTAGGTTTTGTGCTCTTCGGCTTTGGGGAATTTTGCCCTTGCCAGCTAACTGGCTGATTGGGTGCAGAATACATTTAACTGGAACGTTTTTTGTGATGAATTTAGCTTTCTGTTTCAAACCTTTGCACATTTCAGCAATGATCGTTCTGGTGGTAGATAATTTTAGTAGAGTAACAAACTTCTTCCGACAATTTTAGTTGGAGTTAAGGCTGGGCTCTTGTATTAACTGCAGTCTGTTCTGATAATTGTATACTGATATATCTTAAATGATTTGAACTCGCAGTCAATAGAAGACTCGACGAGTGGGTTAAGCTTGAGCAGCTTGACCTTGATACTGTCGAGACCGATGTTGATGAGAAAGTAGAAGATAAGGTAAAGGGAAATGCATGCTGTTATGTTGCTATACACACTAACGACAGCTATACCATTTTCTTCACATTTAGTCAGTGGCAGCACCACTTGATTGCCAACATTAGCTTTTATTGACAACACCGCTTTTGCAAGATGAATGCTTAATATGTTTATCTTTTGATATTTATCCAGGCAACTAGCTTAAAGATGACACGGCACCAGAAGCGTAAAATTGATGAAACGCATGTGGAGGTATGCTGCAGATTGTTATTACTTATTGCACATTTACTATTTTCACTTAAATGTTACGTGAAGATTTATTATCTGAATGTTAGTTGAGGCATTATCTCTCTGTGCATTCAGTGCAAAAAATATTTCTTGCTCATTTGTCCTCAATCGTTTTGGTAGCAAGGACATGAGGAGCTTGATGCAGCCAGCTTGCGGGAACATGAAGAATTCACAAAGGTGAAAAATATCACGAAGATTGAACTTGGGAGATATGAGATAGATACATGGTATTTCTCTCCTTTTCCACCCGAGTACAATGACTGCCCGAAGCTGTTTTTCTGTGAATTTTGCCTCAACTTCATGAAGCGCAAAGAACAGCTTCAGAGGCACATGGTGAGCTATACTTGTTTGTGCTTTATACCTTGCCTATTTGTTAGATACATGCTACTACTATGAGATAAAAAAACTCGTATTAGTTCCCTCCTTGTTTGTCTAAACTCACCTATCATCAATTTCTGTTTAGTTTTAACCTAGGTGCTAGACTGGCCATCCACAAAGTAGAAAGCAGGAACTAGACTATCAAGACAGCAACTAGAAGTTGTAGATGGTATTGTACTGTATCTGCAAACATCCATATATTGAAGCAAACAAATAACCATACGAAATTAGTCATACAACACGCAGTTTGGCATGTCTTGCTATTAATCAATACTCAATAAGTAATCATACAGTACCTACTTTAAATAGCTGAGCAACTAGCCAACTACACATGACAAAGCCACACCCACCCACCCCCCAAAACAGTGGATGGTTTCTTGAAGTGGTTCTTAATATCATTTTCTTTGCTTTTACAGAAGAAGTGCGATCTTAAGCACCCCCCAGGTGATGAAATCTATAGAAGTGGAACTCTGTCGATGTTCGAGGTAAGTTTTGTATCCAGCTTAGCTTCTTCCACAAGTATTTTCTATTCGGACATCTTAATTTTTGATCCTGTTGGTTTTGTTGACATCTTGTTGATTGGGTACCAAATTTTTACTTCTGCCGCCTTTGAGCAATAGCAAAGATTTTGAGAAGATGGCTCAGCTACAGTTCTGTGAATAGTTACTTACATATACATACTGTAGCAGTAGTTAAGTAGTTATAGCTCATGCATTAACTAACAGCAAAGCCTTTTGATCCCAAAAAGGTTTGGGTAGGCTAGAATGTCTTAAGAGTTTCTAGCAAAATGTGGAATAAGTCAATGCATTCACTTTGTTAGCCAAGTACTTTGCTGATTCTAGAAAATTATAGCACCAGAATGTTTTGTTCAGTTGTAGTTGGTCAACTAAAGGATCTTTTCAAACCCATGGCTGTAATGTTTAGGAACGGATCATAGACATGTATTATTCAAGAACATGTAGAAGTTAAGAGCCACAATTGCTGACATTCAGCAGTTTTCTTATCAGTGATGAAATTCTGTTTTCAAGCTGCTTGATTTTACTCTGGAGGATAGTAATTGGAATAACGCTTGTACAATGACAGGTTGATGGGAAGAAGAACAAGGTTTATGGACAGAATCTTTGTTATCTGGCCAAGCTATTTCTTGATCACAAGACATTGTACTATGATGTTGATTTGTTCTTGTTTTATGTCCTCTGCGAATGTGATGATCGGGGATGTCATATGGTGGGATATTTCTCTAAGGTAAAGTTCACAACGATATGAATCTATGATATATTTTGTTAAGTTGTTTCAGTAGTTTTTGTACAAGATATGTTTCCGCCAGTGGAGTGGATCATTTGGTGCTAGAGAACATATATCTGCATTCTGTTGAATTGGTTTCTCTCTTTTGCAGGAAAAACACTCTGAAGAATCTTATAATTTGGCTTGCATTCTCACTCTCCCCCCATACCAAAGAAAAGGATATGGGAAGTTCCTGATTGCTTTCTGTAAGTATGGCCTCTGATGTTATATATTCCATCATATAATCACTCAATTTTGAATATCTTGTGGGACAAAAATTAGTACTTTAGGCATTTTGTTCACTGAAGAACTGTTTTTGCTGTTGTAGCATATGAACTTTCCAAGAAGGAAGGTAAAGTTGGGACACCAGAGCGCCCTCTTTCTGATCTTGGTCTGCTCAGCTATAGAGGTTATTGGACTAGAGTGCTTCTAGAAATTCTAAAAAAACATAAGGGCAACATATCTATAAAGGTAACACCCTTCCATTCAGATATACCTTTTCTTTTGTTGTACAAATTTCAAAAGCTGATTGAATTATGTTACAGAAGTTCTAGAAAGAAACTCTCTTGGCCATAATTCCTCGAATTACCCTACCTAACCCTTGGTCTATGACAAAAAAGGTTACCCTACCTAACCCTTGGTCTATGACAAAAAAGGGTTACCCCTGTGTTTCATAGATTATACTTCAATACGCAGGTGGATTTTCTGTGCTGCAATTGTGCGTTAGTCAAGCATTCCCTAAATAAGGACATTTAGTAGTATTCTAGAACTTAATGTATGCTAAGGGTGTTTTTGGATCAGAAAGATCACCTCAGGAATGTTTGGGTTTAGTCCAGTTCCAAGATCTTCTTTCCAAACATATCTTAAAATGCCAGTGGAGTCAGCTGTACGAACGTGCTGTTATCTTGTAGAAAAACTGGCTTTTCACCTTAGTCATCCTACACGTCTTGCCTGGGCCCTGAAACTTTTGGGTGCATGTGAATCGACTAATTTGGTGGTACATATCATCATCTGGATTTTTCTGGATATATTTATGGGATTGTAGTTGTCAGCACAGTGTACTGTGTCGCTGCCATAGTGCCATTCAGGGAGGCAGTATATACGGGTTATACCTGGCTTTAGCTCTTCAAGCATTTTACCAAAAAACTGCTAAATGGAGCAGTTAGCCAATGCTTTTTTTCACTCCTAGGAGAATCATGTTTGTTTACTGAAACCACTATAACATCATAGAAGAGACTAAACTTGTAAATAGTAACATATATCATATCATAGGCAGCTGTAACTTTTAACATCAGATGTGCAAGGATTGCAGCAATCCGAGTAAGAATTGTACTGAATAGCTTCAATTCTATAACTGTAAAACCCAGTGTATGTTGACAGAGCCACATGCACCCAGTGAAATTTGCAGAAACTTCCTCCACGGAAGGACATCATCCATGTGCTCTCTGGGCCTTCTGTCTGTGCCTTCCTATTCGTGTTGCTGCAGCTCTAAAAACATTTGGACATATGCAAAGCAGATCATCTGATGAGAGTACATGGAACAATTGTATTCTGATCGTCAATTGTTGCTGCCTTCTTGTCCCTGACCTGTACCACAGTGTATGTTGGTAGAGTGCACATGGTCATAGCAGACCTTAGGAGTTCACTTTTTTTCATGAAGACATATACATAATAGCTTGTTCCTCTTAACATTCATAAATGAATCTGAATCCAAATGGTAGCATGACACTACCATGTCATCTAGGAGTAATCATCAATTTGAACCAGATGGTTCGTACATGCAGTTTCAACTGTTCCTAACAAGCTCTTGTACTTGCACGCAGGAACTGAGTGACATGACGGCGATAAAAGCAGATGACATTTTGAGCACGCTGCAGAGCCTGGACCTAATCCAGTACCGCAAAGGGCAGCACGTCATCTGTGCTGACCCGAAGGTCCTCGACCGCCACCTCAAGGCGGCGGGTCGGGGTGGCCTGGACGTCGACGTTAGCAAGCTGATCTGGACTCCCTACAAGGAGCAAGGCTAATAAGGCGCAGCTGCCCCCAGCCCCAGATTAGATGCCCTGACCGATGTCCCTGTACATAACATTTGCTACTAGGATCACCCCTCAGTTTACTTCCCTCCTGTACCGTGAAACCGTACAACTTGTAACAGCCACATTGTTGTGTTGTGTTTGTGCCGTGGTAGTCTCCGAAAGCGAAAGAACCATAACCCAACTCTTGATTCCCCTTGCATCAATCATGCCATCCTTTTTCATTGATATCCAAATCAGGGTGTGGAACCAGCCTGCGAAGTGCCGCACGAGTGGCCATTGCCAGATACGGATCCTGCCCAGCCACTCACTCCGAAAGGGTGCCTGGCCCCGTGCCATGCCCAGGTTCGTTCACGCGCGCATTTCTGTTTGCCGTTGCTGTGTGTTGCACGTTGGGCGTGGCCGTTGTAGCAGATTGGGCGTACCGGCATGCACCTGTGCGCCAATATGGGGCCGGCCGGCCGGCCGGGGCGTGGGGCACGCACGCGTGTAGCCGTGTAGGCGTACGTGCTTGCGGCGTGCCCATGAGCCCGGTGACCCGTGAGGGGTACGAATGGGTGAGGGACAGAAACAAACAGGGGTGCAAGGACTGGGTGGAAGACGACAGATGCGGTTGCGGATTCAGCCTTCAAGCGAGGGATGCCGACGGAGACGGAGACGAGATGAGATCCGTCGTGGCGTGGGGGCCGAACGATCTGCTCTCATTCAGGCCGCGCTGTTGCTGTGCTGGCGCGTGCGTTCGACGCTTCGACTGTCTGCCGCTTGAGCTTATCGGTCGAAATAACAGTGTTTTTCTCGTGCAACAAATTAACATCAACATTATCATAAGCCGTTTGTCCGGTCAGTCCAAGAGGGAGGAGGCTCCCGTCCGGGGGCCCAATTTAAAGACAGAGCGCGAGAGCGAGTGCGAGACCATCCTACATTCCTACTCCTACCGCCGCAGCGTCAACTCGCAGCTCCGTGCATCTACGCGTGACTCGCTCGTTTGGCTTTGCTGGCTGAGAACGTGTAAGCGTAATGTGCTTTTGGAGTTTTCATGGTGGAAGAAGCCGTTGAGTAAAGAACCCTGTTTCCATCCTACCTAGTTTGTTCCTCATCAGAAAAAGGCACCAAGGCTCAGTGGTTTGGGATAGATGGCTCGTGTACACGTACACCCATGCACAGGCACGCATGATTGGGACCGGTGGTGCCGTGCCAGTGCCATGCCTCTTAGTATTAGTCCACAGCCGCTTTACGCTAATACCGATGCGGTCGCTTTCTCACGAGGCCCTATAATCATGCGCGCACAGCCGCTGTCTCTCCGGTGGTTAGTCTAGCTAGCCTAATCCTGTTCCTGGGGGGGCTCCTTCAGCGGCGCGGCGGACGGCATCTTCCGCTTGCGGCTCGCGCCGCGTGAGCGTGACTGCGTGAGCGGTGTGCGGACTGCGGACGGAACGGAGGCACGGATGAGGATCCCTCTGCCCAGCTTCTCTCCGCTTGTCCGTGTCCCCGCCGCGCGGCCCCCACGGCCCCACATGCTCCCTGGCATCGCGTCGCGTGGCGCCGCCACGAGGGGCCCGGCAGTGATGGGGTTGGGTCGAGGACTCTCAGGACGCGCCCAGCCCTTAATCCGAATTGTTTAGCCGGCCCCGGCCACGTCTCTGCCGCCCCTCGCTGAACCTGCAGTACCATCCCCTGCGGCCTGTGCCTATGGAAGGCCCGCGGAGCGCGACGTGGTTCCCGTTCCGACATCCCTCGTCCTTTCGTTCCCGCAACAGTATTTTGTTCCGAAATGAAGGGGAAAACATCAGGGAGTACTGTATTACTTTCTTATTAATCCACTGTTATATCAGCTCAAGACAGAGTGATCATTACCGTATCTACTAGAGGAAACCCCTCGAGACAGCGATGGGCGATGGCCGCGCGGGCCGGCACCGAACAATTGACGCGACAGATGGAGAAAGCGGCGCGGGGCCCCGCCCCGCCGCGCGCAGGTGCACTGCAGCGTGCATGTCGCGGCGAGAGCGAGCGGACGAAGAAAGCGAGGGCGCGGAGTCGCGGAGAGACGCGTCGGGCGTGGCGGTGGCGCGCTCTGTGTAACTGTAACCCGTGGGGATTACCTCTGTAAAGCCCACGCGGTGGCGCGGATGCCGCCACGGAATGGAACGCGCCGGGCCGGGGGGGCGGTGGTCTGCTCTGCTCGCGCGTCGCTCGCTTCCAGATATTCCTGTCGCCGCGCCAACTTTCTTCTTTTTATCTCAAAACAAAAACACCCACTCGGGTCGGGTGGCTCTAGCCTCGCTGTGTGTCTGCGTGCCTGTCGACTGTCGTCTGTCTCTGGAAGAGGACTTTTTTGGAAAAGGAAATTTCCTGCATACAGGATCGGGAGAGCCGGAGGCGGCGTGAGTCTCCCTGGCACTGGGTCACCCTCCACCCTTATCCTTCTGCCATGCCTGGCCCACCTTTGTTTAGCCTTTACCTTGTGGACACAACGGACTGTCAGACCCAGGGCCCGCCCTGCAAAAAAAAAAAAAAAGACAGTGCCACTATCCACTGCCGAGTTTTTTTTATACTCGTACAAGACTGATAAACATTGTTTGTCATCGACGATGTGTTACTGCTCTTGCCGATCGAGTAAGATTAACAACCTACCGCTATGATGCGTGCCTGGCTCATGAAGCTAACCAAACGGACCCAATGCAAGGTTTAGCTGCAACAGACAGACGCGTGTAAAAAACATCTTCTCGCTGATGCAGTGACGAATTACTTTATCAGATGATTCAGACAGAAGCAAAGCTCCCCTTCCTGCCCATCGATGGCAGCTTTGCCGAGTGCCCTGCGGCTTAATCCCCGCCCTTTGGGTTTGTGGTACTAGCATAGCATGAAGCCATGAACTGCCCCCATATCTTTGCTGTCCTTTCCCATCTGCCACAATGACCACCCTTCTCTAGGCTTGAATCCTTTCCATTTCCATTTCCATTTTCTAACTCACCGACCTTACCGAGGACATTTATTTGGTGGTCATCTAACCGTGGAGTAGTAGCAGTACTAGACAAATGCATTTCTTTTTGCCCTGCCTGTGATGTGAGCGCCGTTCTACTTCTACACGGTTTTGGTTTGGTTACGCACGGTACCAGGCTACCAGCTCATGTGCAATTGTCCATTTGGTTGGTAGTCCCAACCATTTCCCACTCGGGCTTTGTTTAGATGAGCGTTATAAATTAGATTGTCCATTTGGTTGGTAATTTACAATCAAACTATGTAATTAGTTTTTTTTATCTATATTTAATACTCCATACATATGTCCAAAAATTTAATGTGACGAAAAGAGAGTGAAAAAACTTACGATCTAAGCCCGGCCTCGGTGTTCCTGGGTTTCAGGACCGTGTGGGTTTCAGGACCGTGTGAAACGTCACTCGGTTATCGACTCCGCGCATAAACTATAGCACTAGCGCTGCTACTACTGCTTACGTGCCAAATCAGCTGAGGGCATGTTTAGTTCCAAAAAATTTTGTGCAGTACTTATCATATCGAATTTTGCGGCATATGCATGTAGTACTAAATGTAGACGAAAAAAAACTAATTACACAGTTGGATAAGAAATCGCGAGACGAAACTTTCGAACCTAATTAGTCCATAATTAAACACTAATTACTAAATACAAACGAAAGTGCTACAGTAGTAAAAAAAAATCATCTAAACGCGCCCTGAATACCGATACGGCATGCCTTCGGAATTCGCTCCCGAGAATCGAGATTCATAACAACTCGGTATGATTATAGTACTATACCACATACAGATACATAGGGCATGATTGGTTCCACCCTACTAAAGTTTAACCAGTAAACTTTAGTCACTTTAGCTACTAAACTACTAAACAAACTGACTAAAAAGGAACTAAAGTAGTTTAGTCACATTAGGCCTATTCAGCTGGTATTAAAGCCGACTGAAGCTGTTTTATTATGAAAAAAAATACTGTAGATTCTACCTGATAAGTTCAAGCGAACAGGTCCCAAGTGATCCAAAAGTAGCTAAAAATGGGTTAAAGTGTCAAGCGGACAAGAGCTGTCCCTCATTATTACTGGTCCCCACTTTGATTTGGACATTTATTAGAGGTAGTTTAGTCTTTGTTGAACTATTTTAATGATCTTTAATCATTTTTAGTTACTAAACCAAATAGAGGTAATTAAAGTTTAGTTATTGATTTTAATAGCTAAATTTTAGCAGGGAACCAAACATGTCGATAGCTATATACCACCAATCAATCGTTTGGAAACTTCCTCATCACTTCACCAAGATAATACTGGAGTACTGGACATGTATGTGTGACGTGGGAATTGGACCATAATACATGCACAAAATGCTATGATTATCTTTTTTATGATTGGGTCATATGGTGCATGATACGATAATGGACTCCATAAAAAACCCCACAAGCAGCAGCTTCTACACTTGGCTCTTCTGTGCTAAATAGAATTCATGCTCGGTCCTCGCACGGCACCAGACCACCAGTAGGCATCCCACGCAGGCCCTGCGTCCAGCTCAGGTCACTCTCTCGTTCTGCATGGGCATGGCTGCATCCTACTACTATTCCACAGCCACGAAATCAAGGGAGGAAATTAGGAGGAATATTTGACCAATCATGCAATCATGCCGCGGCCGCCCTTTTAAAAACAAACAGGACGGACGGAAAATACTGCTACTACCAAATATGTTCCCAGGACATGGCCTAGCTAGCGCGCGCTTTAACAATCCTGATTAAGCTTCATGTTCTTTTTCCGCGTCCCTTCTAATGATTTTGGCTGGCCGGCGGCTGGGCACCACTGGTCACTCGTGTCCCCGTCACGACAGCTCCCGGGCGTTGAAGACAAGAGAAGAGACTCGACTCGCTCCAACTCCAACAACGCCCATCGCGCTCGCCGGATTGATGGATACGAGACACACGGTCATTTTCAGCTCATATTTTTCCTCCTACCAGCAAGCATCACGGATTGGGAATTTGGGCTTGGGATATC